CAGAAGCTGTACGCTGACTCCCTCGGCCAATAAAGCGAGATGAGCGCCGCAACCCCAGAGTCGGTTACGACTGGACCTAATGGTCAGGGGTCCCTTTACCTTTTATGGAGTTATGCAACCCCCCAAGTCAAGGAGATAAGTAACTATGCAACCTTTAGAAGATATCTACAGGTACAGTGGTACCTTGGTTCTCAAATGCCTTGGTACACAAACAACTTGGAACCCAAACTCTGCAAACCTGGAAATAAGTGTTCCGGTTTGCGAACATTTTTTGGGAGCTGAACGTGCTCTGTTTTGAGTGCCACGCTTCTGATTTGAGTGCCACACTTCCATTTTGAGTGTTACGCTGAGGTCTGTCTGTTTTTGCTATTTATTTTGCGTTTTTGTTTTTGCAGCTCTTTTTTTGTGACTGTGTGGAACCCAGTTCAGCTACTGATTGCTTGCTTGCTTGCTTGTGTGACTGCAGTACATTGTTTATTGCTTTCATTTTATGGATCAATGGTCTCGTTAGATAGTAAAATTCATGTTAAATTGCTGTTTTAGGGGTTGTTTTTAAAAGTCTGGAATGGATTAATCTTTCTATGGGAAAGCACGCCTTGGTTTTGAAAGGTTTGGTTTTGGAACGGACTTCCAGAACGGATTAAGTTTGAGAACCAAGGTACCACTGTATAGGGAAGTCTTTTAAATGTTTGATTTTTGCATTATGTCTTTACTTATTGTGATGAGTATGAGTTACTCGTGCGTAAACTGGTGCCTCTCTAGGCTAATTTGCCTTGTTAAACCTTTCTGACTGCACAGCCCTTTCTAATCATGACTGTCTCAGTCACTGGCAGAATCTGTCAGTGGGCGTTTCTTGAATCTCTTCCAACATAAGAGTTGTTTGACACCCAGTCTCCTCCTCCTCTCACTGCGCGGGAGCCTTCTGCGCAGGGAGGGCGTAGGTAGCGGAGGACCTGTCCCCTCCTCACTGAGTTCCAGTGAAGAGTCCGGGAGCCCTCTCTCCGATTTCCCCATCTGCCCACTTTTGTTCCTGGTGTTGCGCTTAAATGCTTCCCCCTCCACTGAGCTGCTTCTCCCCCTGCTGCTGGGTCCTTCTCCAGCATCATCTAGGAGCCTCCCCTTCGCCTCCCGCTCCGATGTCAGTTCCCTGACACTTATGTTGGAAACCACACAGAGCGGCTGGGGCAACTCAGTCAGATGGGAGGGTGGGTATAAATAGTAAAATGATCTTCACCACCATCATTATGGAATAGGACGTCCATATTTTCATCAGAGAAATGTTGGAGGGTATGCTCCTGCCCAAAACCCAGGAGAGGGGCTACCTACCATCAGTGTGGAGTGGACAAAACTAAGCTAGGTGGATCACGTTTCTAATGTCGTGAAGCTGATAGACTGAAAAAAGACACCTGGTAAGAAGAAGCCCTCCCAAAGGAAGTGGCTGGCATTCTCCCTGTGTAAGCATCCTAAAGCAAGGCAGAATTGGGAAGCAATTCAGGAACAGAATCAAATAAATTAACGTTGCCTGATGAGGAGCTGCAGAAACCAGTCAGGCATGGGTCACTCTTTCCTTGCTGAGTATGTGTTTACCTTGCTGGGGAGGTTGGAGGGTTGTTCTGCTCCCAGTGGACTGGCCCTTCCTTAGGAAAATATTGCTTGTTTGGCAGGTGAGGCCCAGGGCCTTTTCAGCCGTGGCACCAAGGTTCTGGTACACCCCCTTTAGGAAGACTTGTATGGCTTTGTCATCATCATGTCTCCCAGCACCAGGGCCCTTTAGGGATGCAGAACAGATGGAACTTTTCTTTGTGTGTTCCGTTTACTGCTGATGAATTGGATTTTCTCTGACAGTAGTGGCCTGTTCTGACTGCTCATTTTATTATTATAGTATTTCATTATGTTTTGATTGCTGTTTTTTTTCCCCCCGTGCTGCTAGCCTTGTAAAACACAATAATACAGCCATAAGGAAATTGCAGCAGAAATAAAAAGCCTGGAAGGAAATATGGTCTTTGGCAAGCATCTAAAACAGGGGTCGGTCGGCAAGGCCTACCGGCCATGGACCGGATCACTCCCACAGAAATCATCCATGGGCCGGACCGGTGCAGCGCGATGCCGGAAATCACGTCTGCACATGTCCGTAGTGCCGAAAATTGCTTCTGTGCATGCCCAGATGCCAAAAATCGTGCCTGTCCACATGCGATTTCTGGTATCTGCGAGTGGACAGATGCGATTTCCGGCACCGCTGGTGATTCCCTGTGCTGCGCCAGTTTAGCGCAGCTCGCGGGGGACTCGCTAAGCAGGTGGCTCGGTTTGGGGGTGGCTCGTGGGCTAGTAAAACAGTCTTCGTGGGCTGCATCCGGCCCATGGGCCGCATGTTGCTGACCCCTGATCTAAAATATAGGTGCCTGGCTAGCATTAAATAAGCTGTCATAAATGCTGACTCCTGGGTTGACCATAACCCCCCTTTTAATGTACTGTTTTCTATACATTATACCTAGTGTTAAACTTCCTAACTGTGAACGGGTGACACTTAGAGATGAGCGAATCTTGTCCATTCCGGTTTCTCTCACTTTTGCATTTTTCCAACCCTGTGTTTGTTCTCCACGTTTCTACATCAGTTTTTTCTTTTTTGGGGGGAGGGAAATCTTCACGACCTTTCATCAGCATCAAATTGTATACAATTCTACCAAAAATACACATTTTTGCCAAGTGATTTTCCCGAATACAACACATTTTTTTGCAAGCTGTTTTCCCAAATATTTGCATTTTATGCAGAAGGCAACACATTTT